GCTCAGATGCTAAGGAGCTCAGAAAGTAACCAACTGTGACTAGTAATAATCAGATATATAGAGATTAGAAATGCACATGCATCTTAGTATCAATTTTATTAAAAATGAATTTTTCTGTATGAAACTGTGTATTTTAATGATGAAATGGAGATCGTTTTTTAACAGTTAAAACCTCATTTAACTTTACGTCTTATAGGGTTTATACTGAGTACAATACTGTATAACTGTAATATTTCAACTGTAAACCTAAAAATTTACAACCAATTTTGAAAAAGATGCACCTTAGCTCAGAAAAATGTTATGGAATAGGTTAATGCTATTGTAATGAAATGCTTCTTCTAATTAAAAAAAAATTGAGTATAGAATTTTAAAGCTGCTTATGTGGATGTGAGATTATTTCATATACCTAGTTCGTGTAAAATTTTTGTTTGTTTCTACTTTAAGAATAAAATGGGGTTGGAGAGACGACTCAGTGGTTAAGAGCACTGACTGCTCTTGCAGAGGACTCAGGTTCAATTCCCAGCACCCACATGGCAGCAAACAACCAGTTCCAGGGGCTCTGACATCTTCTTCTGACTTCTGCAGGCACTGTGTGGCATGGGTGCACTTACACACATGCAGGCAATACACTCACACAAAAAATAAAATAAATAAACACAAATTAAAAGAAAAGAAAGAAAACATACTCCCCCTGAAAGAGGAGTGTGAGCTCTGCTGTTCTCGCCCGGGAAATGCAAGCCCTATTTCTCTCACTCACTTCCCACTGCTGCAGTGTACAGTTAGTACCAATCACACCGAGCTCAGCTACTCCCATACCCTGGTACTACACTAATTTGAAAACAGTCTATCCTGCAAACATCACCGCCTAGAACTGAACAGATATTTCACTTTATATTGTGCATTTTTATTCACATATAGGTGATTTCATAGGTGCTGTCTTAATGGATTTTATGTCTGTTCATGAGTTTTTACTTATTTTTATTTTTTGCAATTTTCATACGATGTAATTTGATGGTATTTAGGTACTCTCCCTATCCACACCTCCCCTTATTGACATTTGAAAACTTTGTTTGGGCTGTCATGGTGGCTGAGTGGCATCTTGCCCGGGACATCCATTCCCTGTCATGTGTCCCTCAGACCTGAGTAGCAGGAGTGCAATACTTGAGAACTCCTACTTGGCTTTGGCAGTCTGGACAGCCACAGGATCCTGCAGGTTCCGTTCCCAGGGCAGCTTTCCACACAGCCACCGCAGCATGCAGTATCCCAGGATCTCAACGTCGCTTCTTCTGGATGAGGCTACAGGGTCCGTGTTAAGGGAGAAAGAGGGGGGATAAGCAAGTTTCTCGAGAAACAGAGAAATCTTTGAGTGAGCTGCTGTTGATGAAATATGAAAAGGCCAAATGGGCAAAGTGTTGTGTTTATTCAGCTGGAGTAAAACTCCACTGCCAGGCCTTTGACCTCAGTCCATAGACAGGCCAGGACTTGTTACTGCTGAAAGTAAGGGTCAGTCTCCTCACCTCCTCCAACTTCATCTTTCCTTAGTCTAGCCTGTCATATGAACTTGATCCCATGGCCTCTAACATGATCCAGACAACCCATAACCCGGCACCAACACTTTCTCAAAGAGCCAAGCAGTAAAACAAAGAAATAAATGTCTGCAGCTAAATTGCTAACACATGTTCCAGGAAGTCCATGGGGTCCGCCTTGGTTATGCGGAGACCCTCTGAGTGCAGACTAAACACTGATTGCCTTTCCTGTTCTGTCACACTGGTGGTCGCATTTGAAGCCAGAATAATATGACAAAACTGCCATCTAGTGTGCAGTTTTCAAAACCAGGCCTGGAAGACCTTCCGTTACATGAAATGCAGTAACGGTGCAGAGCGCTGAAGAGCTGCACAGGCCGCCTTTACACATAAGCAGCTCTGCACTAAAATTCTGGGCCCGAATCCTGAACAGAATACCGATGGTGAGGCAACCATGGGGTGGGGGGAGTGAATTCTAAGGCCAACAAATAGGGCTTTCAAATTTTAATATAAGATGCATTAAAAGAACATGCTCAGACCCCTGTAAAAACAAACTGTTAAATGCTGTGCACTAATTTCATGACAATTTTATATATTCTTCTAAAGTGCCTTATAGCAAGACAAACAATGAGACCTAAGAAACAAACAACTGAAACTTGTTAACAAGTCACTGAATGAATGAAGAAAACACTACTAAATACCCATAAAATAAAATCATTTTTATAACCATTCCACACTGTTGTAAAAACAATAGGCTGGTATTTATATTTATTCCACTACTTGAATGTTCATCTATGCAGGGAAATCTAATCCAAGAGCAACCTGTGGCTGTTAAACTTGCTGCAAACAGGTATCCTATTTTATTGCCTTTCATTAAATAAACTCTGAAAAGTCACTCAGTGAACTTAGTTTTTAATTTATGAAGTCATCCACCAAGAACAATGCTGCCAGGCCATCACAACTGCTCTGGGCAACCGTACATAAGTTATTATAAAAGCAGAAGCCAAGATTAAGGCCTTACACATACTCCATCTTAACTGCTATTAGAGTATTGGGTTATTAAAGGCCCTTCAATCCAGTGGAAGGTTAGTCCCAGGGGTGCTGTTTGTTTTTTGTACAAGCTTCAACAATGTCCTAATGCAGGACTTGGCTCTGGTGTTAAAATAAAAACACAATCTCTACCATGCTGTTCTGCAGTGAGTTCTTCAGTAATAAATTTCCCATTAATGATGGAATGGTTCCACTTGTGCAGATGTGTGCACAAGTCTCTTTTTCCATTATGGCAATTTCCAATTACCACTACTTAAAAAAATTCACATCCTTTTATGTTCAAAAAATGGTATCTGGGCACCTGTTTGGATGACATGGGCTACACACAAGAGGAAAACAAACAACAGGAATTAAAAGGGAATGAACCTTTCAGGTGACTTACCCCCCCAACTGAGGCATTCATTGATATGAAGTAGTAAGTAATGTCAAGTTACTTAGATTTCTGAAGCCAATATTTCATAAATGGGTCTTCATGTAAAACAGCCCTTTGAGAGTTGCATTTATGTCACTATTATAGTTTGGTCTTACCTAATCAAAATATATTAACAAGTTTTCAGTCTTTTCTTACATATATTACATCGATATGCATGGCTAAGTAAACATTTTACCACTGTTCACACTAAATCCTATAAAAATATCTGAAGTGCTAAAAAAAAAAAAAGGTCATGTTTTTCCTATCCTTAATGTGTAAACTAGAAGAATTCAAAATGTCACGAATGCATATCTCTTTCTGAAATTTCCTCCCATAAAGACAAAAGGCTTGACTTGTTTTATGGAAGTTAGTCTTTGGCTCTACAATGATCATGACTACCTTGCTAATACAAAAACAGAAGTCAAGAAGACCTTATTGGAATCTGTGTGTACCACTTATAGACAGAACTGACTATAGTTGAAGAAGACTGCCAACATATAACTAGAAGAAAAAACAATCATTGGGAACTGGAACTCAGTGGTAGAGCACATGCCTTGAACATGCAAGACCCTTAGCTTCATCAGTAGCACAGAAAAGTAACTTAATTTAAAAAGACTTTAACTGAAAGCTGCTTGTTTCATTATAAATTTTTCAAACTTTTAAAAATATTAACTTAGGTGGGAAGTAGAAAGAATTTGGGACTAGAAATCCATCGAGTAGAGAAGGAGTCCCAGCCCCACCATTATTACATGTTTAGCCTTGAAATGAAGCGATGCCAGGTAGTCTACTGTCTTTACTATATCTGCACTTATTTGGATACACAACATATTATGGTTTTCTCTCTGAAGTCATATATTTGCATAATTTATTGCAATGTATAAGGTTTTCAGTTGCACTTCAAAATGACTATTATCATTGTGAGTCCTCATGTAGATGCCCAACAATTAAAACTTTCACCATTAGAAATGGAGCAGTTTTACTATCAAGGTTTTCCCTCCAAAGTTTCATAAATTGGTTTCCAAATATTATTGAGCATGAATTGTATTGTGCTTATAAGCATGGAGCAAGGTAAACCACTTTTCTCATTGAGAGTGTGCTGTTTGCAACTGATCAACATTTCAAAATGATAAAGCATTGCCAACTATAACAAGAACAGAAAATAGTCATTTTTGGAAACTTAACTTCTATTTCAGAAAAAAAGAGTTCCAGAAGTAGGTGACACTAGAATGCAAAATTAAAACACGAGCAACCAACGTGATTTCTGGAGCTCTGCTACAGACCACATCCTCTACCTTTGCTGTTACTTTTTAATCATTCCAACAGTCTACCTATTAATAACCATATTAAACGTAAGAGAGGCCTGAAAGGTTTACTAACTCACTGGGCAGTGCAGAGCAAATCTGACAGAGCTCAACACTGAAGCCAAGACTTTCAGAGTGAACCTGGTCCATGCTCAGTCCACTGTCCCAGTTACTAGTTTTAACATCATCCAATCAACATGTTCTCACTCCTTTTACATTTAGGGAAATATCTATATGAACTAAAGAACATACTAGCACAAAGATGCTTCTCTGCGGGGATTGAGACACCATCTCACTATGTAATGTAGCGCTGGCTGACCTGTGACTCGCTACGTAGACCAGGCTGGTCTTGAATCCACAGAAATCAGCTTGCCTCTGTATCCCCAGTGCTAGGATTGAAGACATGCATCACCATGGCCAGCATAGGGCATTATATATTCTTAACCAAATTGTTCAACTAAAAGGCCAAGAAATATCATAACTTTAAGTCATGTTTAAAGGTTTTTTTTGTTGTTGTTGTTGTTTTTAAAGGTTACTGAGAAAGCTCAGAGCACTGGTGAAGCCAGAAGACTTGAGTTTCATCCAGGGACCCACATGGTGGATGTAGAGTACCAATACCCTCAACTTGTCCTCCAACTTCCACACATGTGTGCAGTGGCACGTACCACTCCCTTACAAAAGAAAATGGAATTTTAAAACTTAAATGTAAGAAAAAGAGAGTATATCCTACCTAGAAGCAACGCCTTCATTGTCATTAACACAGCAGTCAAAGGCTATGTACAGTAGTCAAATTTGACTGAAGAGAAGAAATTAACAGTGCATTTTCCTGACTCTAGGGAGATACGGAGCCTATCTATAACTGATGGTATACCTTAATATCTTATAATAAGGAAATGACCTCCCTCTTTTGAATTGGTTTTAGGAGACAAGTATCGTGCAAACCATGCACTTCCCCAGTTCAGCCACTGAAAACACACTCCTGGTTTACTCACATAGACTCTGTTAGCTGGAATGCTGATGTGGAATGAGACCAGGCAGGACCACCTGAGACTGAACTGCATAGACTGCAGCACTGGTAAAATTTCAAAGAGTATGCAATAGTTTTTCCTTGACACTGAATGTATTACATAAACAAATGGACATTTAAAACACAATTTAGATATCATATGTATGGTCATCAATGATGTCAAATTAAAACAGGTATTATACACTCAATGCCCAAGTCTGAAGTATTTTAAAAAGCTCAATATGTTAAATGCAGTACATCTCTAGAGAAATTAGGTATTGACTGCATGCCTCAGTGAGTAGAAAAATCTACAAAAATCCATATCACACATTGATCCAAATATTGCTTCTTAACGTTACTAAGAATGTAACAAATTTTAAAGTAGTGTATTTGACACAGATATAATTCTCTTTAATTATCTGGCACCAAGAACAAAGCATGTCTGTGTTAATATGCGCCAGTTTTTATGGAGTGAAAAGATTAATAATGAAGCCTAACATACCTTACTCAAATTTTGTACTAAATGAAACAATTCAGCTACCTAGAAAGTCCCTTTGGTTACACAAGATAGCTGAGTTGGGACAGTAACTGCAATGTTTAAAAGACACCTAGCTCCACAAGATTTCCAGGAATAAGTATCTTTCCATCCACTCTTTTATCCATCCACTTCCGTATGTCTCTGCACATAGTTTTTGGTTTCTAATAAGCTACTTAAGGGGGAAAAAATAAAGTCCTTTCTACCTAGAAAGTCCCTTTGGTTACACAAGATAGCTGAGTTGGGACAGTAACTGCAATGTTTAAAAGACACCTAGCTCCACAAGATTTCCAGGAATAAGTATCTTTCCATCCACTCTTTTATCCATCCACTTCCGTATGTCTCTGCACATAGTTTTTGGTTTCTAATAAGCTACTTAAGGGGGAAAAAATAAAGTCCTTTCTTTCTTTCTTCCCCCCCTCCCTCCCTCCCTCTCTCTCTCTCTCTCTCTCTCAGGTCTCCTCGACAGAGAGACGGAGAGAATATGATCTATGAGTCTTCCCT